ATGCTTTTTTTCTTACTCTCCCTATTTTCTCTGCCGTATTCTTTTTACGGTGAATGATTATTTTCTAAAAAGAAATAGAAAGAATAAGAGACTGAGAGAGAGAGAGAGAGAGAGAGTGAAAAAAGAGAGTCATTTGAAAGCATAGCTTTACTTTTCGAAATTGGAGCTCGCCCTTCTGTTTTTTCTCCCACCGGTGGTAGTAGAAAATTTCATTCGCGAGTAACAAGTTCTGCCAAGGAATAAGGCGAAGGTAAATTAGAAAGAAAGAGAGAGAGAGAAAAAAAAAGAACAAGGTAAGGGCTGGTCATAGACGAGTTTATAACTTAGGGTTCACAGGTCAAGAGCCTTTCGAGAATGTCTTAAATGTTTCATTCTCAATGTCTTAAACTTTCGAATATTTTTTAGAAAAAATTAAAAAGGTTTTACGGCGTTCATTATTATTATTATTATTATTATTATTATTATTCTTAGTCGTCTATCAAACAGAGAGAGAGAGAGAGAGAGAGAGAGAGAGAGAGAGAGAGAGAGAGAGAGAGAGAGAGAGAAAAAGAAAAAGAGAGATTTTCTTTTTGAATGAAAGATCTCTATATATATGACAAAAAAAAAAAGTAGTATTATATTTCTACTTAGAACGCGGATAAGGAAAAAGCTTATCCTACCTTTCTCTCTCTCTCTCTCTCTCTCTCTCTCTCTCTCTCTCTCTTTCTTTCTTTCTTTCTTTCTTTCGTTCCCCTTTTTATACCAATTCAACGTAGAATCCCGACTTTACGATCGGAACTTTCCAACGCCATGGATCTTCTCTCACCCTTCGGGAACTCTTCGAGAACCGAAAAGATTTTCCCGAGCGATCGCACCCGAAGAAAAGGGGAAGTATTAATCTAATTCACCCTACTCCCTCCGGCGGCTATAATTTTTACTTGTTCCTGAACACCGATGAAAAGATTTCGTCTTTTCTCTTTCTTTCTTACTTTTTCTTTCTATTCCCATACCTACCTTATCGTCAAACTTCAAAATCCTGGAATATCTAGAAACGCTAGGAAAGAAAGAGGGAGAGAGAGAGAGTCCCTTTACAACTCTGTAGCTTCTCCAAAAGTCGTTCGTTCGGATCGCGTTTTCGACGTCACCAACTTCGAACCAAAGTCAGCCTTAATATTCGTCCTTCCGTCCAATAGAAGATAGTTTTCTTTTCTCTCTCTCTCTCTCTCTCTCTTAGTAAAGTATAAGCCGTACCTTTTGGAAAAGTAGAGTTTTTAAGAAAAGTAAGTAAGTAAAATAAAAAAAAAAATAAAAAACCGAATAAGAATAGAAATGAAAAGAAATGGGGAGGTGGGGTCTTGGCATATAGCATAGGAATAGGAAGGACCAAGTCTTAGGAATCGCGTGATTCCTATTCTCCTTCTCACGCGATGCCCGTTTCCTACTATCGACCTTTCATCTTGGCCGAAGGAAAGGTTTTCCACCGAAAAGACCCTAACACGAGCTCCAGTAACAGACCGACTCCTCGTCGACTGCTGGCTCTCACCCTTGGAATCTTTCGATCTAGGTCGAGCCTTGATATCTATCCTAAACTATCCAATTCAGGTAAACGGGCGCCCAATTGTCTCGGTCGACTGAAATAAACGTTTAATATAACGGGTGGTTCGAAAAGGTGAGGAAGCAAAGAACGAAAGATTGCAACGGGGGTGTTGGTAAGAATGACCTTTTATCGAAATATTCCCTTGGTGTACGGTAAAACTCTGTTTATCTGTCTCTTTGTGAAAACGCTTAAGGAATCGGGGGAGATGGGTTTGCTTGTCGATTATCGAACTACGAAAATGGCTGACGCGTGAGTGGCCTGCGAATCTACGATCCCTTTATTCTCGATCGCTAGCACTCGACTACGTAATTCGTTAAAGCTACTACCTTTTGCTAGCCATTGCCCCACTAATGCTATTGCAGTTGGTCGATTCTAATTCGTTACAATCTAGAGCTAGCTAGCTAGCTTGCTTGCTAGCTTTTCTACCATTCTATATATTTCTCCCCTTTTTTCTTTCTCTGAAACTCTGGCAGATCGGATCCACGAAGTGCTTCTCCGTCGATTATTCTTCGGTATCGGCGAACGATTCGTTACACCTAGCGCGTGTTGGTTCCCTGCCCTTCCCTTCCCTTTCGAACCGAACGAGAGCTGCTCGTTCATTGAGCCGCTCGATCACGAAGCCAGAACAAGGATGGATCGTGGGTATATAGGGTTGTGCCACTTGGCGTGAATACGTTCAAGGAAAATAGGTATATACTGGTAACCTCTCTCTCTCTCTCTCTTTCTCTCTCTAATACCATAGATATTACCTCATTGGAAATTGGATTTCAAAGGAAATTACTTTTGTTATGTGCTCAAACTCGTTGAATGATTTCACAAATGAATCATTAAATCCTAATAACAAATAAAAGTATAATGTAGAATAATATTTCGTATTATTATTAATATATCGATTAACTAAGATTTCTAAATACGATACGATACGATAAGATGAATTATCTTTTAACAAGTACCGCGATAACGAACTTCCACGTAGGAAAGATTTTAGATAAGATCAAAGACCCCTCTGAAATGATTTCATCGTACCTTTAAACCGAACGATAACGATCGACGAAGATCCCGAGATCTTAGAAACGTCTACAACCAACTACTCTGCTCGAAAACGAGGCAACGGCGGCATCGTGGATTGCATCTGGCCAATGCTCCAATCAAGTACAATCGTCCTAAATTGTAAGTGGCCCATAGAAGCCACCACCCCTCTTATCGTCCTTTCCAACCCCTCTAGAATTTGGCACGTTGCAAGAAGATCGATATATGTATCTACGTATTTCGAAGGTAGAATCTTACCGGCATACTGCGACTGCAAATAGGTACTCACTTCTAATCACTTACTTACAATTAGATATCGACATAACGATGACTATATTACGTCTTTACCTAATTAAACAACGATCATTAATGCAAATATTACTGCGAGACTCGTTATAATTAATAAGCAGTCGTGCGTATTTCCGTTCGTACGTGAACGCGCCTGAATTGTATAGTGTTCAGAATCAACTGAAATTCTACTCTAACCCTGGATAGCCTGGGGGCCCTTTTCTTCCATTCCTTTGGAGAGAGGGTGAATGCTATACGCGTGGCTCGCACCTCGACAATCTAAACGAAGATTATTATTATTATTATTGCTCTTCATGCTGCCGTTGCTATTGCTGGTCTACTCTTTCTGCTCCTGTTCTTGCTCCTGCTTCTACTCCTGTTGTTGTTCCTGCCTCTGCGCTATGCGTAAAATGGAATTGATCCCTGAGGCGCGTACCATAAATCTTTGTCTCGAAATGAAAGTAGTTTAGATTGATTGCACGTCGAATTCACGTGGGTTACGCTTAGAGTTAGAAATATAAAATGATCGGGGTGGGAGGGAGGAAGGATAGGGATCTCTTCTAATTGGAAAATAGAAAATATCTAAGGATCAATTTCAAAACTCCCTCGCTCAAAGGGATTATGAAAAATGTTATTCCTGATTTACTCCAAACCTGAAAATTATCGATGCAACATTAAAACAAAGGATTCATTAGGTATGGTCATTAATCAACCACCACAGGGAACGATTTATTCGCTGCTTTCCTTTCAATCGATCGATTTTCAACTCTTCAAGCATAACATCTGATACCTGAATTATTATTCGAATTGACTTTTCATGTTTTTTGATAGCATCCAAATGAGACATTTATGAAATTTGTTATTATTTGTATAATATTACGTAGCCGTTTATATAGGGTAAAGAATTTACTCAAAAAAAGGGGAATTTTTTGATCGAAATTATTCTGATAATACATATACGAAATCATATATTATTATTGAATATATTGCAGAGAAAAGTGAGATGAAGTGTGTGTGTGTGTGAGAGAGAGAGAAGGAGAGATTTCGTTAATTGATCGAATGTGTGCTTTATGAAGACGAAACGTTGCATAGTATCATCGTGGTTGGAACGTTGCCAAGGATAAAGTAAAGACGCATTTCATGCTAGCACAATACTAACTGGCTCGCAATAAGATGAATTGTAGGTAAATGCATTTGACTGTTTTCACGTTTAGGAGGTTCATTGAAAAGTGAATTATTTCCAAAACTGATAGTGTTCGATCTAGTTTTGAAAAGTTCTTTTGAAAAATTCTTTCACCTACGAATCGTCGTTCATAAATAATCTCTAACCTATTTCGAAATTTTTAACGCGTAAAAATCGATTAATACCGAGTTTTTATTTTTCTTTTCTTTTTTTTTTTTACGCTGATGTATACGAATGCCACATTTTTATTCTCATTTGAAAGACGAAAACGAAAGAAAATTCAATCGTAATAAATCTTCTTGCGAGGAATCAGGGAAGAAATGTTATTGCGAAAGGCGTGCTCTCTTTTTCCTCTTTCTCCCTCCCTTCTCTTTTTCTCCAAAAGCTTCAAATACGATTTATTTGATTCTGTGCCAATCGGTACTCCGTTGCGGATACTAATCGACTTAACGTCCATTTCACTTTACCTCGAATGTGTAACTCATTCCCAAGGGTTCTTTTTTTTCCTCCATCTTTATTGGAATGCATAGAGCTTTTCAAACAATTCGATTTATTAACTTTATGTAACTTTGCTATATTTAATCCGTGACAAGGGAATATAAAGGATTACGAATTTAGTAACGTTCGTAAAGATTATTGATTACGTAAATGGAAAATTTTATAACCAATTTATATAATATATATGTTCATTATTATTTCGTTTAATTAATTATCAATTATTTTCAATGCATTTAAAATTTTCGAATTTTGACAGAAAGCGCCGATCATTTATTAATGATATTACGATATTATCTATATTAATATGTTCACGCTTAATTAAATGAAATACCAAGTGAAACGTGATTTTATAATGCACTAAATATAATTAAAATTAGAAAAAATCAATGTGATGTACTACTAAAATATATTTTTGAAATCTTTCAGAATGACACGATGCAAGTTGTCTGGCAGTATCACGCTAAGGAACCTGCATCAGTAGCCGGTGTTTTACCTGGTCATGGTGCGGTCAAAGGATCAAGGCCGTTGTATTTAGTTCAAAGAGATACACAACCAAAACGTTCGTCATATAATCAGGAGAGTGAAGCTGTACTGAAAACTTGGGACATATTGAATCACGAGGTAGGCTTTCCTTTATTTATACGTAATATAAAAAAAAGAAAAAAAAAAAACTTATAAATGAGATGTAGAACCAATCTACTTATCGATTGACGCAATATCTATATTAGCTCAATTTCATGAAGAAAAAGAAAATAAAAATTAAATACTCTCCAGTAAACGTATTAAAAACATATGCATGGATAAGTAATGAAGAGGATAGATTTTACGAAATAATGAGAAAGAAGAAAAAAAAAATAGGTAAAGGAAGGGGTAAAGAAAAAATTTCGAAAGAAAGAGAGAGAGAGATAGAGATAGAGGAAAAGTAAGTAAACGTTCTCATACAAATTCATCGGCTAAATTTCGCGAAAAGGGCGAAGGAAAGACGATTAAGGAGTTTTAATTGGAGTTTGGCGAAGTGGATCGCGTTAAAATGGCGTATCAGCCCAGGGAGATATTATACTGTATAAGGTCGATTTTCGTTACATCGCCGCGGACACTACCACCACTTTTCTAACCTCCCCCCCCCCTTCCCCCTCCTGCTACTCCACCTTCGATATAGCCCACACTCATAAAAGCAGTTTAAAAGCGGATTTAGTTGAAAACTCGAGTTTTCTCATCTCCTCTCCTTCCCGCCCGCTTACTTTTCTTCTTTATTTAGTTTTAACCATTTTCATTCATTCGAAATATTCTCGGTGCGATACAACTTTGGTATGATTGATATTAAACGATAAACTAAACCAACGCACCCTGTCTTTGAATGTAACTTTTTTTTAGGAAACCATTACCAGGTTTGAAGAGAGAAACGCACGTAGAAAAAAAAAAAAACAGAAAATTGAAATTCAATATTCTCGAGGGTTGAAATATAAATTCAAACTGACCCGTAGTAAAACTCTATACGTGATTTTACGCCACCGCTTTACGTATATATATATATATTGTACTTAATATCAAACTTTCTTTTTAATTTTTTTGTTTTTGTTTTATAATTATTTTTCGGTATCAAACTTTGTTCATAAAAAAGTAACTAATTTTTGCCGATTATAATCTAAGAAATTTTTTAAACGAAAATTTATGATAACGTTCGAGCTTACTTATCGGAGAGAAAAAAAAAATCATGCAAGCAGCTCGCGCATATAAGAGCTCGACCAACCACTTCGTACGTTTATTTCGCAGTAGCTATATAATCCTACAAACTTCCTGCATCTTTATTGTTTTTTATTACTTTTTCTCTTTTTTCCTTTTTTTTTCCTCTTGCGAGATTTTACTTGCCTCTCTCTATTCATTATTTCGTTTATTTCTTCCTTCTCCATTATAATTTAGATTCCACGTATTATTCCATAGCTTCGTATTTTAAGCCTCTCTCTCTCTCTTTCTCTCTCTTTCTCTTTCTCTCTTTCTAAGATTCAACAAGACTTTTATTATCATAAAACTTCGAAACTTAAAATATCCCCATTCATTTTCCTTTATTCTTTACAACATCCGTATACTTTACGAGTGTCACATAAGAAAGTTTATTGTAGTTACAATTTTATTCGCACAAAAAAAAAAAAAGCCCCGTAGTATATGAAAATATCTAACTGAACCATTTGGAAAAGTATTTAAAAGAAATGTAAATATTCCATTTTGGACCTGTGGACGCGAACTATTATAAACTCAACAACAACAACAAAAATATCGGATGAATACGTCGCAATGGTACTTTCTATTTGTATATATAATATAATATACATTTCAATATCAATAGATCGTACACAAGAGTGTCCTCGGTGTGAGAAAAGAAGGGAAATATAGATGTAAGGATCGTACAAAGAACTATCAGAATTCTTTCTTGATCTTTGGATACTTTTCTCCTCCTCCTCCTCCTCCTCCTCCACCTTCTCCTTCTCCTTCTCCTTCTTCTTCTTCTTCTTCTTCGATATCGTTCTGTTTTTGTCACGTGCCATAGAGGTTGCATCGAGAAACGCACGCTCCACACACGATTGCATTTTCTACTACTGTATATACAAACACATGGATGCTCTTTCTCTCTTTCTCTCTTTTCGTTCGATGAGTGTATATGATAGAGAGAGAGAGAGAGAGAGATAGAAAGAGAAAGAAAAGTCTCCTCTCATACCTCGATGTGGAAGCAGCGGTCGCACGTGAGATGAATGTTCGAACGCGTTTAACGTTCCGAGTATACGAGTGGATTTTTATCCGATGCAAGCCACGAAGCATTGTGCCGCACGAATTTATGACAACATAAATCTTAACCGGGTCACATCCGGCAAAAACTATTCGTTCATTAGCGTCGTCGGGTCATAGATTATCGGAAGGGACGAGAATGAGAGAGAGAGAGAGAGAGAGAGAGAGAGAGAGAGAGAGAGAGAGAGATAGGAAGAAGGAGGGAGAAGGATGACTATCGTTGAAATCGGACAATGCTAATTCCGCTTAGCGATTCTCCATCGAAAGGCCGTTTATAGTTTATATCGAATCGAATTTAGGCCAACCGAAATGTGTTACTACCGTGAACTACGACTAAATCTCAACTAGCGAGATAATCGCTAAATTCATCGTTAACTCGTGCCAACGTCGATTATATAGTTGAGAAAAATGATTCGTTTAAATTAATGTGAAATTTTGTAATAGAGATAAAAATAATCGATCGATTTGACGTATATTTTTCTCGTTTTACTTTTTATAATTAAATCAAATAAATCGATTTTTCGTCTAATTTTAAAACGTCGAAATCGTCATATCTTCCAACCTATTTTCTCTATTATTTCAAACAAACCGACCTTTTCGTTTCTGTTTTGTTTTCTCGATAAGGAGGTCGTGAAATAAAAATATGGTATCACTGAGAAATATATATATATATATTTTCCAATTATCTCTCGGTACATAATGAACTCGTCCCCTAGATTTATTCATGGGGGGGTAAAGAAAAAGATTAAAAATAAGAAAGGAAGAAGGACTACTTTTCATAGACGGCGAATCGCGTTTCGGGCTTATCTTTCGTAAGAAACTTTCCGAGGTCAGGGTTGAGAGAGAAACGTTCGTCGTGTTATCTGATAAAAACTCGCAATGTTGGAGCGTTTCGCAGACGCATTTCGCCACGCTGCAAAACTCTAGAAACGCGTTTGTGGTTTTAATTGTCGTAGACGGAGTCAGCCATCTCTTCGTACCAGCCGGATGACGGAAAAAGATAAAGTTGCCGCCGAGGAAGTTTATTCTCTTTTCTTTTTCTTTTTCTTTTTTTTTACCCTTTACGCGAATGCCACGATTCTACTTGCTTCTTATTTTATTCCTTTTATATTCTATCTTCGTTCTTCGTCTTAGTCTTCTTCGTTTTCATTCAATACCAACTACCCTCCTCGTCTTTCTCGGTCTCATAAAAGGAAATAGCCGACCGGTCAGATAACTTTCTATCGTACCGCAATGAATATGTATTTTGAGTGTACAGAGGATGACGACGACGACGACGATGAGAATGAAAACGAGAACAAGAACGAGAAGGACTCGTCGATTCACGGCACCTACCATCACCATTCCGTTTTCTTCTTATATCTTTCTTTTCTTTTTCTTTCTTTTTTTCTCATAATTTCAATATTTTACTTACCTTTTCTTCCACTCGATATCAAATTATGATAATTTCATATTATTAACCAATCCAATTGAACGAATAATTATTGTACATTGATTGTTAATACATTTCTTATACAACAATGTGTATATAATAATGTTATGGAAAGAACAATAATAATATAATATTACATATTTGTCAATATTAAAAATAGATCAATTTTGTCCTGATCAAAAATTTCTATCCAAAGAAGAAAAAGAAGTATAAGACGATACGAGAAGATATTTCGAGAATGTACGTTTAGTTTTTTGATAGATAGAAGATACTATAGAAGACATTGTTTTCTCGGTAATATTGACATCGATAATTTGACAGAAACGCGTGAGAAAATCCGTGTTGGCGTGGCTGAGCTTAGGGCGAGAGAATTCTACGGGTGTTACAAAAAAATCGCAATTTTCTCCGTTCGCATTTGCCCTGCGGCTTGTTTCTTCCACCGTTGCATCTTCGACCGACTGAACCAAGAAAGAGAGAGAGAGAGTGAGAGAGAGAGAGAGAGAGAGAATGCATTTGCTTTTTACTTTTTATCTCACAATCCGTTCGATACAGAAACGCCTTGTTTCCTGACTTAATATCGACGTATTTTAAAATACAATTTTTGCCAATTTGTCTGATTTTAACTAGAAACAATTAGCTTTTTTTTTTTTAATTAATGGTACAAAATATCAGTAAATACATCCACCGTTCGTCGGTTACTTCTAATTATATATATATATTAAATATAATATTGAATGAAGAATATTTTAGCAAAAATAACACGCTCGATGTTACCAGGTCGGTTTCGTGGTAAATAATTAAATCACGTACTAGTTATTTATTTAAGAGCATTAGATACGATTAATTCGAAAAGTGTCTATTTGTTACGCACACCTCCGATACCTTTTATACTTTAACAAAAATAATCTTTCCAATGTGCGTTCCAACCATTTACACGCAGATAATTATATACTTATCATATCACCGTTTGTTTCTATGGTAAACTTTTAATTAATGATCGTTTCTTCATTTTTTGTTTTTTTTTTTCAGGTTTTACTACCGAGGGACAACAAGGATTCGTTGCTCTGGTGTCAAATAATAAAAATGCCATACATAAATCGCAAGCATCACGTTGTCAAGGTAACTCTCTTTACTTATTCTATATACTTGAACACATTTATGACGCCTTACAGGCGTTTCACGGGAAAGTAAAGTACGTTAACCGAATATGAAATAGTTGGGAGAGAAACAGTGTAGAAACTACAGCATCGAGTTGTCCCTCTTTCTCTCTCTCTCTTTCTCTCTCTCTTTCTCTCTCTCTCTCTCTCTCTCTCTCTTTCTATTTCTATCTCTCTTCCTCTCTTTTGCACACTTCCTGCAGGAAAGTCTCCACGGAAACATAAAGCTCGTACCGAGCATGTATTGTTGTTGGGAACCTCTTTGTACATTCGTGACAATCTTTACAAGTCAGAAGAGCGTTCTCGTTTACTCTTTCCGAGAATAAATAAAAGAACAAAAGTTAACGTTCACGATAAATTTTCACCGTGAAAAGATGGAATATTGTTTTTCTACCGTTAAAATAGAATGTAAAAAAAAAAACATAAAAAGGGATATATGTGTTTGTAATGAAACGACGTTAATAATATTTACCTTTAACGATTTAAATTTACATAAAACTTAAGATTTATTTATCAGATGTATATTAAATTAATTCACGTGTTTCTCGATATTAAATTCGTTGCGTGATTAAAATCGTCATAGCTTTTATTTTTCTTTCGTCCATAGAAATTCTACAATTTTTCGGAAAGAGAAGATCTAATTAACCGATAATAATGATAAATATTTCGAATGATAAAAATGCATACGTATATGTGTGTGAATACTTTATAAATAAATAATAATATGTTCGTTAAAAAGTTATATAGACTTATAATTGGCACATTTGATATTCGTAAAAAAGCGTGACGATTATAATCGCGTAAATTAATTGAATAGCAGTTAATAATTTGGGTTTATCACGTCGGATCCGGTCGCGGTCAGCGTCCCGAAGAACGTTTTTAAAGCAACCGACGCGAACCGAATGATCGTAATAAACGTGGCAATAATAAGAGGAATGATCGTAAAGCTCATAATACGCTTACCGAGCGCTTTATAACGTCCCCCGGTGATCTCTCTTGCGTTACCGTAATCATTAATTTCTAACTATATCCAGTCGTTTGACGTTTTCCAAATGAACGGCCAAAATTCACCACGCTACTCCTAAACGTCGCATTTCGTTTATCTTCTCTTTTCAAATTAAGCCATCGAATTATGATTTTTATTTATTTTCAATATCGACGATCGTTCTTTTTCTAGAAAGAAAAATAAAAAAAAACAAATTGAAAACGAGATAAAATATCGATAAGTTTCCTTTTTTTCTTTAAAGTTTCATTCAGGTTAACAAATAAAAAGAAACATAGAAAAAGAAAGGCAAGATGAAATAATAATATATTGATAATCGTTGGTATTAGGCTTTTAGGTTACATTCCTTTTTTATATTTTTCCTTTAACGATTCGCGATACCTAGAACAGATTCCCATGAGTTTCGAGGGAATAGAGCGTGAGCAGCAATATAGTTGACCTAACGCCAGTCAGCTAGGGGGTAGCACCTGAATCTCGAACTCGATCGAACGTGACCCAACTATGGGATGCGATTGCATTGTGTTCCATCCTGACAGAGAAACGAGGAGAGACGATTAGCGTTTCGATTGCGATAACTCTAGTGTTTAAAGTTGAACCTTCAACCTAGAAAAATTCTCGACTTATTATTACAGTTTACGAAAATAAAAGTAAAGAATATAAATTGTGTGATTATTCCCAAATAATTAAGATTATTTTTAATAATCGCGTTCGGAAAACATTACGATGATAATTTTGTAAATATTTATATTTTCTTGTTTTTTTTTCATTATAGTACGAACCCGTTATCGAACCTGGGAAGAATACGTATTTGCATCATATGACCCTCTACGAGTGTCCGAATAATAATCCTCAACTTGAAGAAGCTTCGAAAACAACTGGCAGTGTTTGTTACAAGGACGACAATGCAACGCAATGTAATACGATTGCTGCTACTTGGAGCTTAGGATCTGAGGTACGTTTTAATTTTATTACATATCTCATATAAATGATCTTTAAATGTATTTCATTAAATGATTCTTCGAAAAATGATACTATTTTAAATACAATAGTTTTTGTTCCTGTTTATTTACAAAATAAAAAAAAAAAAATAAAAAAAAGGAAAGATATTATTTTTGGCTCGGAGCAATAAAATTAAAATCCGAAAAAATCGTGCAACAGAAAAAGTAGGATATTATTAGTAACGATCATTTAAAATGCATTTTGTTTTGTTCGTAAACAAAATATAAATGATAAATATTGGCTTTGTTGTTTCGAATTTGTTTGCATAATTTTTCAATTCTTTCCGTTAGCAGGGCTTTAATTTTCCACCCGAGGCTGGCTATGCTTTGTATCCTGACAATCGTTCGCGTTACTTCATGCTCGAGACTCAATACATCAATCCTCAACAATTAGTCAACGACAATTTGGAAGTCAGTGACAGTTCCGGATTGAGATTGTATTATACCGATCAACTTAGACCTCACGACGCTGGAATTTTGAGCATAGGAATTGATCCTAATTGGAGACACATTATCCCACCTGGACAACCAGAAGTAGTCTCTGAAGGTCATTGCATAACTGAGTGCACCGAACAAACTATACCTAATAGTGGTATAAATATGTTTGCCGTAATCATGCATACCCATCAATTAGGAAGAAAGATAAGATTTAGGCAGATTCGTGCTGGTGAAGAATTACCACCGATTGCATCGGATACCAATTATGATCCTACTTATCAAGAATATCGCAAACTTCAACGACCCGTCAAAGTTTATCCGGTAAGTATATATATATATTACTTTATACAAATTTCATTCGATTCCAATTCTAACATTTTTTTTCTACTCCATTATACAATTATTATAAAAAGCTCTTTTTTGACACTTTCTCAACGAATATATATATGTATATATAACGATATCATAAGTTGAAGGTTTTACAAGAGATAACGAGCGATCGTCAAATCGGCCACCTGTAGAAAGTATAGATAAAGAAAGTATAGAAAGAAAAAAAAGTTAGGCTTAAAAAGATAAAAGTTGGAAAGAATCTTAGTCTACCAGTTGAGAAAAGTGGAAAAAGAATATAAAAAAGTAGTTGCGGTTTTGATCGGCTTCGACAGTTGTAAAACCTTCTCGGTAAGAGGAAGCTGCTTAGAAACATCGTTTGATCGTTTTACAGGGCGACCACTTAGTTGCGGAATGCACCTACTCGTCCGAGTCTCGTTCAACTATTACGCTTGGAGGTTTGATGACGAGACAAGAAACCTGTCTGATATCCGCACTGTATTATCCCCGGATCGAATTATCGATCTGTTATTCTTTGCCATCTTTACCAACCGTCCTGCAAAGTCTTGGCGTTCAAAAAGTCATTCAGTAAGTTTATTATTTATATTATTAAGGTGAACCAACAAAGTTCGGGCGCCGATTAAATTAATATTTCACTTACATATATGTGCATAATTACGAACCTACTAACTAAGTAAGTGAAAATTAAAAAGAAAAATCATTTTATCACATCACATTACTCTAAACTAAATTAATTCACTAAATTTTTCACGATATTGTCAAAAATTAACCGTTAGATAGCATTTGCTATTTCAATATTATATAGAATTTATTTTTACTGTTCAAATGTAATTCGTTTAAATATCTCGAAACAAGAGATACATGACTTACAACCACTTTCATAATTATGGGCACATATAATAGAATTTTATTGGTTTAAAAAAATTGCACTATTTAAGATTCAACCTAACATTGTTCTATTACTTGCCACACTCTTGATCTTATTTACCACGATGTTAGTTACTTTTATTTCTTAATTGTCGCTTTGAATAATCGAGTTTCATAATTAAACGGGAAATTTGAAGAATTTAGTACTCTTAATTCGGTGATTCTCACGTGTTCCTAGAAAATTTGGTGGAATCGGTGGAATTGGCCGAAACTGCTTGATGATAAATTGGCGCGACACACACGCATACACACGCACACACTAATCTGCGCTATTACGAGAGGTTTGTACGGGTCCTATGTAAACGGACGAGACGATTGCCAGCTTTTACACACTCTCTCTCTCTCTCTCTCTCTCTCTTTCTTTCTATTCCCCTCTCTTTGATCGGTTTAAATTGACCATTAGGGAGCAACGCGTCCCTTAAATGCGCGAAGAACGCACAAATACGCTTTAGTTTAAATCGTTAACAGAGTTATATTCATTCGCGTTATGTAACGTTATGAACATGCTTAAAGGTGATGATTACTTTCCTAATCGTATTAAATTATCTCACACGTATACGAAAACGGTAATTCTATTAAAACTCGCATCCAAGTGAAAAGAAACAACAATCGAATTATTAATGGACAATACATTTCGTTAATATTTGATTACAATCTCAAAATATAATTCTACTTTTAGTCAAGTTTGAAATAAATGGCACAATATACTTCGTAAATTTATCGTTGAATCTAAAGCGATTGTATAAATAGAAGAAAAAAAAAGAACAAAAAAAAAATAAACACTGTGTGAAAAAGAAACTTTGACGAAATTGGTCATTTATTTATTTTCAGAGATTTATCGTTAGTGAAAATCCAGGAACCCAAGAGTCTTGCTGGAATGACCTTGGAAGATCGTTTAATAAGTTACGACTGGGAGACAAGTTTCCAGAGTTTCCAAGAAGCTACTAAAGTTGGTACGTTTATGCCATTATGTTGGACCAGTAAGGGTGCCCTACCTGGCACAGAATCGTTGGTGTCACATTATCCAAGGATTCTGTACTCCTATGAAGAGACCAATTTAGCATGTTCCGACATGGGTTTTCCTATGGATGCTGAAAGCGATGAAGCAAACGCGGTAGAACGTGGTCAGTTGGTAAGAAGCAAGGTATCGAGAAGTAGCGAAGGACCAACTGCAGCAAGTTCACCATCAATTGCGGGTCCTTTTTCTTTGCCACTTATCCTTGGCACAACCCTTTTAATAGGGCTCGCTGCTGGACTTAGGTGAACTATCCTGATCGGTATTCGCGCGATCGTCCCAAATTCGAAGAAGTACCTCCGAGGATCCGCTGTTTGAAATATAAATATAAGCGAAAGAAAAATTCTACTCAAACTGAGACGAAGAAGTAGAAATGGAAAAATGAAAAAAGAAGAACAAAGAAGAATACTATGGAATAAGAAGAAGAAAATTTCTTTTTTTCCTTCTTCTTCTTCTTATTTTTCTTATTCTTCTTACTTATTACTATTATTGTCTTTCGCTTCTGGATCCTTTGATTGAACACTCTGAAAGACGGGATACGAGTTCTGCACCGTTCTTTGTCTCCCTTTTTTATCTATCTATTCTATTCTATCTATCTATCTCTTGTTGTGGATCGAGCTAGGACCGGATCATCACGAATCCGTGAGAACGCGTCATACATCATGGTACCGTGAGTACGTGCCACGAAATTGTCTTGGCATTTGTCGCTTAAGCTTAAAACAACTGTCAGCGATGTTTCTCTTATAGGACATTTATCCTTTACGATGAGAAACCGGTAGGAGTTCCAGATTTTCTACCTTCGAAAGAAATCAAATCGTCGATTCTTCTTTCGTTTTCCAACAAGGTATCCGTGATTTTTGTTATATATATATATATTTATATACTAATAAATACTCAATGTTTTTTCCCCATTTCTTCTCCCCATTAATCGAAGTTCAAGTCGATATAAAAAAATTTTAATATCGCACGAATCTCAGTTGCTATATCGTGTTCTTTTAACAATCGATCAAACGATTTACTAATGCTAGTCGTGCGATATTATATTGCGTGGAATTTGTTACGAGAAAATAATGAATACCTTTCGATCGTGAAGAGAAAAAGATATCGGAAAAACGCGAAATATTTTCAATGTGAATATTTTCATATTTTTTAAAGAGTTATTATTTTTTTGTTTTATCTCTCGAAAAAGACAAAATAACGATAGATAAAAATTCAAGAATTGCTTTATCGAAAGAGATTAATTTTAAGAAAAAGAATAGAAAACAATTAAATGTAAATGATCGATAATATGCAAGATTTATTATTTCTCATTTCTTTTTTTTTCAACGTTAAACTCGTCGAAGCATGAAGATGGAGGATAAGAAGAAGGGGTTTGTGCTTCTAATCGGGTTCACTTCTTATTATTATCGTACGATGTAATACGTCAAGGGAATTTCTCGGATAGTTACTTTACAGCTCGTTATATGAAGATAGTTGCATAAAGCGGCATGCACGAACAACGTACAAATACACTCCCCTTACCCCTTTACCAGAACTAAGAACCAACTTTCAACTTCTTCTTCTGCTTAGTACCTTGCGTAATATCCTGATCGAATAAAATCATCGTCTTCGGTGATAACACATATACGTATACAAACGCGTTCAGGTAATTTCCGATAACTCGAGTAGATAAGCAAAATAATTCGAATAAATGAAATCATATTTCGAGTCGAGTCGAAGGAAAATTTTCTTTACAGAAACAAAATTAAATAAAAATATTCTTTCGCGCAAAAAGGCACACGTACCCGGAAACAATTGCACTCTATTCTTCGATATGAATTATTTTCAACTCGCAAATAATTTTTCCTCATCGAAAATTGATCCGATGTAAAGGACGAAGAAAAGATATATTTTCAAACATAAAAATTCCGACATTTTTTACGACAGAAAAGGAGAAATTTATTCGAATAAAAATTCGCATATTTTCGATCGTTTTCTTTTAAGACCGAAAGGTATTCCAAACACGAAGCGATCCACTTTAGTCTTGTTTTAAGAGCGTTTTCTTTTTCTAGCTTCTTCTCGAAAGGAGTATCTCGAAATAAAGATTATTGTTGATTGTTTATTTACCGATTTGGAAATCGAACAAACCCATCTATCTTTTACTTTTTCTATACGAGAACGCAACTTTTTTTTATTAGGCAAATGTACCATTCGTGGATTTGCATTTAAAAACTTGCGATTCTCTTGCCATTTACGTTTATCTTTAAATTTGTTCGATTTCCGACTCACTATTGTATATTTTGTTAATTAGACTGCGTTGGCAAATAAGTTTTTTTTTTGTAAGATCGTATAAACATTGGTTGATTTGCACACGCACACGCATACACGTACACATGTATACACACGTATATACGAAACACACACAAAACATACAACACTCACGTTTACAAGGAGGCACGACGCAGGGCGATGTTTTCTAATTTTTAAGCTCTTTCGTGTGTGTATCTCGTTATAAATATATATATTATTTTTTGTTAACTCTCGCGAAAATGTGTTACTTAACCAACGTTTATATACAGACATATATACTCGAATGAATATATGCAAATAAATATATAGATATCTATATATATATAGATATATATATATATACATAAATATAAATTAAAAAAATAAAATGAAAGATGATTATGTATTCAAGGACTCTGTGTAACATTCTGTACAGTTTATTAATTATATGTAATATTGTTAAATGCGCTTTCCACGTGTTCGACGTGTTGGACTCATGAATTATTATTTATTTCTTATTTAATTGTAAAAAGTGAAGAGAAAAGTATAAGGAAGAAGAAGGTTAATCGAGGATTAACAATTGTTTGACAATTATTAAACAACTGTCACCGATAACACAAACAAACACGCGCGTCAACACAATCCACAAATATTCCTCTCGCGAATTAATTTCGTATTTTAAAGAAAAACAAAAAAAAAAAACAAAAAAGAAAAAATAATAAAAAGCTCCTACCTTTATGTATCTCTTTGACATCCTTTTACTACCCCCCTCCCCCACCTAGTCCCATTATGACCTCCCATGATCGTTCATCCAAATTTCTAACTCACGCTGCGATCGTTTTTTTTTCTCCGAGTTCGTGATGTTAATCGATTTATTTTCAGCATATTTTTTTGCATCAAAATTTCGTCCGCACTATGTTTGTCGCGATATATTAAATTCAATTCTGAAGTAATAGAAAGTGGTTTAATAAGATTTAGTTGCAAAGAAAAATATTTACACTTTAGTTTCTTTTGTTATTTTAGTTTCGATTTGATTTGACTTGATTTAAATTAAAAGTAAACAAGAAAATTATCCTAATTTATTTTTTTAATTTTAATACGAATGCAACGTAACAAATCCACGAGACGGAAAATTAAATTTCGATACTGTCAAGAAAATATCATCCTCAAGAACGAAAATTAAAAATTTAATCTAAAAAGGTGATTTAAGGAAAAAAAGTTTTATACACGTCGACTTATTAAATCAAAGTAAACAATCGAGATAGATTTAAAGACTAAAAAGAAAAAAAGATAACAACAAGAAGAAAAAACGCGTAATAAATTTTATTGATTTTCTTTTCTTGCTTCCAACCCTCGCTGCTCATGCACTTGGACAAAAAAACTTAGGATTCTAATTAATCAAACTAGATCAATATGATACACGTAGCAAAAAATGTTTTGCAATTTAATACCACGATTATTCGTAAATGTCATAGGAAAATCTATGTACGTAGTAGAGGTAATATTTTTAGGACAATTATGTGAGTGTTCCTTTCTCTCTCTCTCTCTCTCTCTCTCTCTCTCTCTCTCTCTCTCTTTCTCTCTCTCCTTCTATTTCTATCTCTTTATTTGTTTTTCCATTTTTCCATTACGATTGAAACTTATCGAAACGTTACTGGAAAAGATAATACAAGCCAATATGTTTTTTTTTTTAATGACGACAAATATTTATTTTTTACGGCACAAATATTTTTTCGTCTTTTTTATTTTTTCTTTTTTCTATAAATGAGCACACAAAACAGGCCCCCCCGAACGATAAATCGATCGAATTTTTGTATTCACAATATATATATATATATATATATATATATTATTTTCAAATTATCTTCTTCTTTACTTAAATGTGTGTACGGCACGAAGAAAAATAATCTATAAGAAAAAATTCGCGAATTTCGTCGAATATAGTGCTACGATATTTTAGAAAATGGAAGGAAGGACTTGCGTGAAGATGATGATACCTCGGCGCGCTCGAGGATATACGTATTAATTTAAATCGGTGATATGATCGTAACAATCAAGAAGAAATGCGTCGTGTTTAAGCTGGAAATAATTACGATAATTAGGCGAATCTTTAGAAGAAGGAATATTTACGTATTTATAACTCGGAATCATCCTTGCATCGTGTGTGTATGTTTAGCTCGTTCTTCGTTCACGGTTTCCGTTAATTATCGCGATCACGTTGGAACAACTATCGCAATTAAACGAATAAATATCCTTTTTTATTTCGATTTGACGAGATAGATTTTTCTTTTTTTTACGAGAAAGAAAAAAATTTTGTTTCATTCAGATAAAAACTGAAATATCTTTTTTCCGTTAAATAAGATTCTGAAATTTTTCGATTTGTGTTAGGTGTTCCAACAAGAAACGCGATGAACGAAAGAAATCTTCAAAAAATTGTATGTACTGTATGTAGAACGATGTAGCTCTAATCACACGGAATGCTGCCAACGCCTATTAGTGTGTTATTGATAATATACGAGAAAAACAAAAGTATGGAAAAAAAAGTGAAAAATAAGAAAATAATAAAAATAAATTATAATAATAATAATAATAATAATAATAATAATAATAATAAAAAAACAAGAGAACAAAAAAATACATACAATGAAATACAAGAAAAAAAAACAAGCTGATGTATTTCGGACACGGGGAAATTTTTCTCATTTTTGTGCGCAAATGACGTTAAAATAATGATAACGGGAAGAGAAAAAAATAGCATGTGCGCGTGTATATAGATACCCTGTATATAGTTTTCAGATTTAACGAATAACGTCCGAAAATTCCAAATAGGTGAAACCCTTTAAACCCTTTACATACATTACACTGCCGGATACATGAACACATTTCGATACACACACACACACTTGAATCTAATTCCGATTGGATAGCTAATTATAGATATCTCGTATCTTTATAATTTACGTTACATATGAATATATAGATAAAACACATAGAAATATATATATATATATATAGGTACATAAGTGTACGCTCGCGTGAATGTGTGTGTATACCGTACGTACATGTATAGGTATACGTGCGCACCACGTACGTTTAATATACCTATGTACGCATTTAACACATT